TTACCTAGTTGAGCAGGAATTTTAGCTTTAAGTGTCCTGGAAGCCAAAGGAAAAGGGAGATATCACATCTTTGTATCTTTATTCAGAAAAGTACACAGATCTCAAAGAGAAGAAAACATGCTAAGTATTTTGGGGAAACAAAAAGCTTTAAAAATACCTCTAAAGAAATTTATTCTGTAGAGTTCCATGCCAAAGCTGGTGATGTAGTTAGTGGGTAATTCCTTAACAGTGTGCTACAGTTAATGTAGTGATAGCGTGCAGAAGGCTGTTAGTCAGGGTTTCCTTCCCAAGGACATAACCAGAAATACTACTCAGTGATGTCGTTTTCCTCGTCAGCTTTTCGTGATTCAAGTACATTGTTTTTCAGATGGTTCACTTGGATTTGAGGATGAAAACCTAGAATAACTAGGTAGATAAAATGTATAATCTTAAAAAATATCCTTTATGTATATCACCGATTCCCAGGACTTAAAAATATTTACAAAAGCAATTACAAAAACAATACCTGTTTATGGTAGAAAATTAAAATATAGATGTTGAATATAAATTTCTCTCTACATAGAAATACTATGTAGACCTCCTCCATATATGTGTGTGTGTGTGTGTGTGTGATATTTTCCTCACAGTGGCAGTCTATCAATGCTCTGGTATACTTCCTTCCAGTCTCTTTATGTGCATTTTTTAAAAAGTTCGATCAATGATAGATGCCTTTTATATTCTCTAAATGTAACATTAGCATTTCCCAATAGTATCTGATCTCCATAAATTATTTTGTGTCTGCATTGTTTGTGAATTTAGCTTCTAAATTCATCTCTTGCCTTCCACGAGGCTGTACTTATTTACTATTCATTTTCAGATACTGTATATTGTTTTTATTGGCTTCTCTTTCACCTTTTGATATGAGCAGTCCAGTTATCAGTGTACTTCTCTCAGCACTCTTTTCCTTGATCGTATCACCCACCCCCTGCAGCTTCAGCTATCACTTCAAACCACTCTCAGGGTCTCAGCTCTAACTCAGACTTCATGCTGAGTTTGAAGCCCCTTAAATCCAATTGCTTGCTAAACCTCTGGATGCCCTGAAGGCATCTCAAATACAGCTGTTCAAAAACAAGTCCTTTCATTGTACCTATAGTCAACAACAATGTATGGTACAGTTACTGTTAGAGGGTGGATCTTATGTTGTGTTCTTACCACAATAAAATAAAATTTTGAAAGTCCATTTTATCTCAGAAATAAATGGTTCTCCTCACCTGTCGCATGTCTTCATCATCATCTCTATTTAGTTGCTCTCACTAGAAATTTTACATCCTATGCTCTTTTATCTCACATTAATACTCAAAGTTATGTTCTACTTCATACAGAAGCAAAAAAAATGCAAGTACTTGAGTGTCCCTGTATCAGGAACTGATTGTGGCTCTGGGGATGGAACAGGGAACACACCTGACAAGCCTCTCTCTCATGGAGCTTACATTCTAATTGGGAGAGACACAAAATGAACAGATACATGTATCGAGTGACAGTAAGCACCATGAAGAACATAGAGCAGGGCTAGGTGGTGGTAAGGGAGAGGAATGGGAGGGTGCGTATCTATTATAAGGCGGTCAGGGAGGACCTTTGATGAGGGGTATTTGCATGAAGACCTGAAGGAAGGAAGGAAGGAAGAAAGGAAGCCACGTATATGTTTTGGGGAAGAGCCTTTCAGGAGAGAGTAAGGGAGTTCCCATGTTCTAGATTGGAGCAACTCGCAAGAGGCAGAATGGCAGGAAATGGTATAGTAGGAGTGTTAGATGTCAGGCCTCAGAGGTGAAGAGATGGACTCTGGATTTTATTCTAGAAAAACAGGCAGCAGTAGAAGGGTTTTAAGCAAAGTATGACATGGCTAGACTGACAGGCCTAGCCTCCCGAGGGTGGAGGCTCAGGGGCCAGCTAAGAGTTTTGTAGTCCAGGTAAGAGATGATGATGGCTTAACCGATGGTGGTAGCAGCAGAGGTGGTGGGAAGTCCTATGCTGGATTTATTTATGCAACAATATACCAGTGATTAGGTGGGAACGCTAAAAAAGAGGACATCAAGGGTAACTTCTAAGTTTTTGGCCCAAACATTCATTTAGACAGGAAAAACTGGCAAGTTCAGACTGTTATTCCATCTCACTGGACTACTAAGTTAGCCACTTACTGTATGTGATCTCTCTTGTCCTATCTGTTTTGTTTCAGGTAGTTTCTTAAGCACAGGTCTGACAGTGTTACTCTGCTCGTGGCTCCTCACTGCCTTCCCACAGGAGGGTACAGTCAGTCCACAGAATTTGGATGAATTTGCACATATCTTTTATGCTATCATAGTATGAAGCAATTCTAATCTTAAATGGTGGCCTTTTTCTTTTTTAAATCCCAAGATAGATCTATATGGAAAAATTAAGAACATTTTAAAAAGGGATTCTGTATTTGGAGGAAAAGCCTTAGTAGGGATTTGTGGGATATATACAGAAAGGCAGTTTTGAAATGTATGCTATTACTATCACACAGGTTTTTAAACTCCTGCTAAAATATGTAAGATGTAAAATGTATATTTAATTTCCCCGTATTTCCATACAGGGTATGGTAGCCTCTGTTGATTGGTGATCGGCCAGGTGATCTGGATTTGTATGTGTATGATACGCAGATACTGGGATCGCAGTGACGAACAAGCTAGACAGAGTGACTCTCCTAGGAATGAGTCCAGCTCCAAAATCGTTATTCCTTAAGAAGGCACACATATATTCTGCCAGAAATTTCTGTATGCTTTGTTTTGAATTTGTTAGATAGTATTTTCACCTTAGAGTAAGGGCTAGAATATCTTTAGTTTCTATTTTGTATTTCCTGAACAACACAGATCTATGAAGTTGTCTGTCCTTAGCCACACAGCTTATGGTCAAGTTGGGATTCAGACTCAGGCTCTCTCATCCCAGAACCTTAAACACAGTGCTCTATAATCCCGGTGATCTTACTATGATGATAAATTAAAGAAATTCAAATATGAGTGGAAACAAATCTAACATTCTGGTTTAAGGGAGTTTTAAAATTGAGGCAAGTCAGTCAAGAACTCCTCCCAGTAATGCATCATATGATATTCTTTCGTTTTGGTGTTTGTCAGAGATTACATGTCTTTACTATCACTTTAAATCTCAAGTGTCTGTGGGATGATGTGCTGAGTTTACAAACCAGACCAGCATAAGGTTAGGTGTTCTTGATAAGTGGCCCGAGTCACTACAGCAACTAAAAGATACTTCTTTAAGCACTTGATGTGCTGCTGGACTCTGGGGTACAGTGAAGTCCCATCTTACACAGAATAGGTTTTAAAGGCATTGCAAGTTGGATTACATAAAGTTAAAATTACCTTTGAAAAATCCCACTTCTTAAAACCACTAACTACCTCTACCACCCTCATTTACCACCAACATTTTTTTGCCTTAATGACTGGATTATAGAAGGAAAGAAGGAATTTTTATCTATCATCTGGTGCTTTAAAGCATTAGGAATAATTAAGGAAAGGGAAACTTCCCCGATTTCCTTTGACCACGTAAACCACTGTTCTGAAACATGCTACAGTATGTATCAACCTTGAAAACATTATGCTAAGTCTCCTAAATAGATCTTTCTGCCTGTTCTTGCTCTCCTGTTGCATGTTCTCCCCACAACAGCCAAAATTTTCTTTTTAAAGTATAAATCAGAACATATCACCACTCTCTGTTCGGTGCCTTCCACTGGCTCTCCATCTCACTCATTATAGAAGGAAATGCAGACCTCACTCTCTGACGTCGTCTCCTGCTGTCCTCTGCCATACTTTTCTGGCTGTTCTTTGACTTATTTCACTTAGCACAACGCCCTCAAGGTTCATCCATGTTGTCGTAAGTGGCAGGATTTCACAGTATCCTTTTAATCTCTCTAGTATATACACAGATACAATAATTTAGGCTCCATGGTTTTATGACTAGGAAATACATAATTGACTGCTGGGACCATAACCCTTGTTTTCTGGCCAAGCAAGAAAACTTTTAGAGCAGTCTTGACTTGTTTTCATCTTTACTTACTCAAGTGACTCTAAAAGCAGATATTTGAGCCCAGTCAGTGTGGCTCAGTGGTTGAGCATCGACTCAGGAACCAGGAGGTCACCGTTCTATTCCCTGTCAGGGCACATGCCCGGTTTTGGGCCCCATCCCTAGTAGGGGGCGTGCACGAGGCAGCCAATCAATGATTCTCTCATCATTGATGTTTCTCTCTCTCTCCCCCTCTCCCTTCCTCTCTCTGAAATCAATAAAAAAGCAAATATTTTAAAATAGTAAAGGAAATTAGGAAAAAGAAAGTTTTACTATGTTTTCTTAATCCCAGCAGAGCTTTATTTCATTAGGCTCTTTTACTACTTATACTTAGAAGTAATCATAGTACATATATTTTTTTCATAGTAGATTTTAGATTCTTTTGCTACCTATTCATAAGAGCTCTAAAAACAATAAAAAAGTAATCAGAATCCAACTTAGTAGTTCAGACTGATGGTATCATCTCTCTACAAGGATGTCATGTTTTTAAGAAAATTTTCAGACAGAACATATTTTAGTCATAGTACAGGTTTTTCTCTGATTCTGTTGTGAAATAAGTTACAGTTAAGTGAGCCAGTATTCTGTAAGAGGAAGCACTTAAAATTTTTGTCTGCTAACCCCCACCTTCCAACTTTCTTTCATCATCTTTAAGTTGAAGCAACAGTAACAACATATATAAGTTTGTAGTATACTATGCCTGCCATTCTTTGGTTGATGTTTAAGGTTTACTGTCCAGCCCGGCCAGGCATGGCTCAGCGGTTGAGTGTTGACCTAGGATCCAGGCGATTGGGGTTCGACTCCTGGTCGGGGCACATGCCCGGGTTGCGGGCTCGATCCCCAGTTGGGGGCATGCAGGAGGCAGCCGATCAATGATGACTCTCTCATCATTGATGTTTCTCTCTCTCTCTCTCCCTCTCTTTTCCTCTTTCTGAAAATAATAAAAAAAAGGTAAAAAAAAAGATTTATTGTCCACTAATATAATTAAAAGTACATTTTAAACACAACGAGAGAAACAAGAACTCTTGTGATAGGTGTTTAAAAATGTTTATCTGAATAAAGCTGGTTAAGTCTTAATTGAGCATGTGATAAGCAGCCACCTCACATGTTTAGGTTAAAATGAAATGTGTGTGTGGTTTTTTTTAGATCATGAATCAGGCAGATAAAAATCAACAAGACATCCCATCTTACCTTAGTGACGAACCACCAGAAGGTAAGTATGCATCTGTAACACTAAGAATGGAAAAAAATATCCTATTGAATCCAAGTACTGATTGTTTTTATTAAATTTAAAGTAATTAAGCTGTTTACCTGGCCAGTAAATATGTTCCAAAAATAATTGCCAATAAACCTTTTTAGCTTCTAAAAGAAAACACTGACATTGGTGAATGGGGACATAATGTAACTGTTTTATTATCCTTTCATTTGTAAAGAGTGGGTGGGATGCAGAGGAAAGGTGGACTGTGTTTAGTGTTGATACTGAGCATACAAAAACTCAAGAGGCACTTGCAATTTGTTATTAACCTCCTATCATTTCATTATGTTATAATTGGTAGCTCTCTCTTCTGTATTATACGTGGCCCTAGGGTCTGCTTAATTTAAATGCTCTTTTAGTTTGAAAACTGTTATGTTATGAATCATTTTACTCCTACCTTTACTTCAGAAGTCCTTGGAAACACTAACTGTATAGCTAAATGTCTCGACTATATGCATTTTCTTATGGTTTTGGTGTAGAATATTATTACACTTAATTCAAATAGTGATCTCCTTGGACAACTGCATGTTTGTCCAGGGCAGTCATCATAGGTAAGAAAGAATCAAATTGGAGCATAAAGGATGAAGTGACAGACCAGACAGACTGCAGTAGCACACAGACGAGGGTGTCTCTGGGAAGAGGCTAGGGCTGAACTACTGGCCCCAGGTATTGTATTTTGTTCCCAGTTCTGTTACCCACTGTCCGGAACTTTCTTCCTATATTTATGTTGGTAGAAAGAAATGAAATCGCTAGGAAAATAAACAAAGTGAAAAGTTCATACTTAGGCCTAGAGAGGATGGAGGTAACTTACCTTTAGCTTAGTGTAGTGGAGAAATAGCCTAGAAAATTACTAGCTCACCCGTTTTCTTTGCTTTACTTTTTAGGACTAGAACCCTGAGTTTTGAAAAGAACATAGAACTCGATGAAAAAGTTAATAAGGACTTTGTGAGAAAGTCACCAGGAAAGAGATAAAGGCTCTCCAGGAGCATGGCTGTCAAGGAAAACAGGCCTCAGGAATGGCTGTGCCTGGCAACCTGCTGAACAAAAGTTGTCTGCAGGGTAGATAATTATATGGTGGTAATTAAGAACACATTGTAATTAAAGAGATCACCAATAATATCTGACTTGAGAAAAATTCAACTATAAATGAAAAATTAAAAATCATTTTTAAAGAAAAATTGTTATTAAATGCTTGTGCACCAAATGTAGCCTAGCAGCATGATCCTACATGAGGTGTTCAGTGTGAAGCAGTTTATCTTCAAATCAGGATTTTCCCCCTTTCCTAGTGTTACTGACCTTGACCTTGATTACAGAAGAACCACCAATTAGTTGTTTCCATCATAATTTTATAATGAATGCAGTAGTTCCCCCTTATCCACAGGGGATACATTCAAAGACCCCCAGTGGATCCCTGAAACCTTGGATGGTACTGAACTTTCTAAATATTATGTTCTTTTCCTATGCATATATGCCTATGATAAAGCTTACTTTATAAGTCAGAAAGGCAAAAAGATTAACAAGAATAACTAATAATAAAATAGAATAATTACGACGATACACTGTAAAAGAAGTACTGTGAATGTGGTCTCCCGCTTACTGTACTGGACATTGGGATTATTCATCTCCTGGACGGGATGGAAGGGGACGGCTTGAGATTTCATCACATTACTCAGAAGGGTTTATTTCTGAAATTTATCATTTAATATTTTCAGACCATGGTTGACTGTGGGTAAACAAAACTGCTAAGTGAAACCATAGATAAGGGGTGACTACGATATATTCAAATGCTTATCTATATTTTAAGCCTTTTATTTCAGCTATTTAAAAATGTATGTTAACTATGCTTATTACTCAAATAGTTTAAATTAAAAAATTGGTTTTTATAAATTTAGCCATTGCTGAACATGGAAATTTGTAGAGAGATTGACCTTCTCAAAACCACCTCCTGATTATAAGGAGGTCTTAGGTTACTTGATTTGTGCTGTTTTTGTAAAGACTTATATTTAACCATTTGTATTTTCTCATTAGGTTCAATGAAAGATCACCCACAGCAGCAACCAGGCATGTTGTCCCGTGTGACTGGCGGTATCTTCAGTGTTACAAAAGGAGCTGTTGGTGCCACCATCGGTGGTGTGGCTTGGATTGGTGGGAAGAGTCTGGAGGTGACCAAAACAGCTGTTACAACTGTGCCTTCCATGGGAATAGGGCTGGTGAAAGGGGGCGTTTCTGCTGTGGCTGGAGGTGTTACAGCTGTGGGGTCTGCTGTTGTAAACAAAGTGCCCTTAACAGGAAAGAAGAAAGACAAATCTGACTAAAACATGGAGATACACTTGCTCTCTACAGCATTATGATGCCAGTGGCATTGACTTGCTAAATTATGGACTACAACTAAGTCAACTGTTTTGGACGTTTATCTTCTTAAACTGCTGTGTTGAAAGTATTGATGACTGGCTTTTGTCTAAAAAGAAGAGACCAATACTAGCACAGTGTATGAAGGTTTCTCATACTGAAATTCCAGCTTTTTATCTGGTAAAATGTTACACTTATCAGTTGTAACTGAAGATATATTTGAATATTTACTATAAGTCTTTTAGTTTAACTAAAAATGTGAAAGTTGAATTTCGTGGATGATCTTTACAGTTCCATATGTATAATGTGCCAGGTAACTCATCTGTCCCTTAAAAAGGGAACCTTGAACTACATAAACTGTAATTTTGATGTGCCTAATAGTTTCAGATGTCTTAGTTTTTTTATAAAGATAGTTTATTAGGCCAAGAGGCATTCTTTTCTTATTTAAGCTGGTAAAAGTAGCAGGATTTAGAGAAATTTAAAAGGTAAAGGGTTTTATGATCCTGAGTGTTAACCATCTTTTGTTAGATATGCATTATATTTATTTAATCATTGATGCCTTACAGAAGTAAAACATCTTTCCTAATACCCTAAATATGTGCAGTTCTTAGAATTATATATGGATTCTCTTAAAAGTTGTTTGTGAAGTTAGATTTCCCTCTTTAAGAATCTCAGGAGTCGTGGGTAAAGGCATTTCTTGCTCTCAGCAGATAAGATAGTGCTTGACTTTTTGTTAACTGTCAGTAGTTATGACCAAACTGTATGCTTCAACATGGGTTCATGCTCCATCGTCAGCACACCTCACAGTGCCTAAGGAACATTTCTTTGCTAGTCAGAAGCTGTGTTGGAAGAGTTTCAGATTAAGGAGGAACAAATAAATAATTTTAAGTTTTTAAAAATTACCTAGAACATCCAAAATATAAAAAGAATTATTCACACCTATTTTATCTCCAGGATGGCTTAAATTATAAGCAGTACTTCTTTTTAAAAACATGGTATAAGAACCACAAATACATGGGGGCTGACTTTTAAATTGAATGAAATGGGCTCCATGGATTAGTTTTGAATGTAAAACATATAAGTGCTTTCAATGGTGTAAAGGCTTTTAAAATATGTTATCTCACCATCCTTTAAAGCAGCTGTAGACTTTGTACCATTTTCAAAGTCAGCTTCAGGCAGGGAATTGAAGTTTTTGACTGTGGATGGTATGTGTGCCATGTCTTAACATATCTCATCATGTCTCATTCATTCTCAAATAATCTGACTTAGCTGAAATTCATCTTTTTGTTTTTTGTTTCATAGACATTTTAAAAGTGGCATATGTATTTGGCATTCCTCTTAACTAAGGGTTATAATCCAAGCCTGAAAAAAACTTAGTTTTCTTTATACTTAAGTCTAGAAACTTGCCTGCATTTTTTTTTTTTCCTTTTCCCCCTTGCAAGGGAGGGGAGGAAAGGTATGATGCTCTGGAGTAAAGTCAAATAGACTCCCTGAGAACTTAAAACAGATCACTCCCGCACCCAAGGCTTAAATGTTTGTAAAACAACAGTTTTGACATTAATAATGTGGATTAACAAATGGATAAGAACATAACTTTTAAAAGCTTTCATAAATACCAGCAGGAATTTTAAGCAAATCTATAAAGGTTCTTGAACCTTTCTACAGTATACAAAACTGAAAAGTCATTAAGGAGTTCATGAGAAATTAAATGGCATTTTATTTCATGCCACATTATTTAAGGTATACTTGTTAGTCTATCTGGTCAGATGTCATAATTAGCAAAGGTGTTTTTTTTTAAAAAAAATCCAAAATTAATAGACGAACACAAATAATGATCTAAATAATAGTAAATAATAGTAGTGGAAAACTTGTTTCCTGCTATTGGAAAGAAATTATTGCTTCATTGCTAGTTTATATTTCTAATTTATCTTCTCTAGTCATAGGCTCTGCTGTGCTTTGTGCCTGAATTTCTAAATGACTTTAGTTCATTGTATGCTTGCATATTTATTTTTAACTTTGCTTGTCTTTAAAATTGCTTGAGGAAAATAAAATGGTTGTAATTAATTTCTGCTGCAGAAAAGCCACCTGATACATTTTATCTTACCGAGTTTGTTTTAAATTCTAAACTGTTATTTTGTTCAGGAGAGGCTTTTGCAGTGATAGCAGAGAACTGTACAAATGAACCGTTAGTTCTGGAGGTTCTTGTTGAAATGAACTTGCTATTTGATATGTATAGCTGTAACTTGAGTCTTTTTCAGTTTATTTTTGTAGATTAGCATTTGACCTGTTAAACAGTGCTAGTTCACTGCAAGAAACTAAGGTGGTTCTACATAACTGTAGGCATCTGTTATTCAGCTTGCCTTTTGAGTGGGTATTTGGCACAATGAGGATAAATGTGTGTGACCCACTGAATGACTGATCTAATAATGTTGATATTACGAGCCCTGCACTCAGTGAAAGAAGTGTCAGGTAAAATAACTGATGGCTGAATTTTTTTGTATTAAAGGAATGGCAAAGGAATACATGAATCTGTTAATAAAGCACTATGATCTGCAAAATATGAAATGTTTTGTAAAGATCTAAGGAAATAAATGAAATTTTAAAACAGGATAATTTTTAAATCTTTAGTTACACAGCAGTTCAGAAAGTAGTGTTGCCAGTTTTTAAATTTTTTGACCTTAATGAAATGAGATTAAACATCTCTGAATATGTGTTTTGATGCCAACACATAATAATAATAATAATGAAATGCAAATATATTTTAAACAACTCTAATAAAGATTAAAAATGTAGATTTATAGGTTTTACCCCAACTTGCTGAATGTCTGCCCAGGGCTACAGTTTAACAACCTCTGCAGGTGAGTCCTATGCCCTCTGAAATTTGGGAACTGATGGAGAAGTTAAAAAGTAGTGAGCACTTCCCTCCGCCTTAAGTAGCTGTGGAACCAACTGAGACGTCTCACTGGGCAGAAGTGACTCAAATGGATGGGAACCAGTTGGAGGAAGGTAGAAAATGGATATATACTGGGCATCTACTTGCCCACCAGGTGCTGTCCACACATTATCTGATTTAATCACTATGAAGGAAGTATCTTTATTCTCTTTGTACAAATATGGAACAGACTAACATTCAAGTTAGTTGAATTTCTCATATCACTTTTGAATTAGTGTAAGTCACAACTTCTGCTTAGGTCCAGAGACAGAAATGGGGCCATCAGTAAGAAGTCCTTCATTCTGCTGTTGGCATTCAGTGCTGCCTGTGTGCTGTACTGACTAGGCTCTTTTTAAATTAATGGCCACAAAGCACACAGGGCCACTCAATTCTGCCAAACTTTCTTATATACCCTCTTGTACGTTCACTTTCCTACTCCTGAGATGACGATTTACCTCTTCCTTCTAACCCCCCTGCTATACGTACTCATCTCCCATTCTACTGTCCTTGTCGGACAGCAACTCTGCTGCCTCTCATACCACCCACTCCATCAACCTGCTCACACCTGCTCCCACACTCCTCCGACCGGGACTAGTATCTCGGCTCTCATCCAAAGCCTGCCCCCCTTCACTTCCTGGAGGAAATGAACCCTGCAGTTTTCCATCTCATCCATCTCTCTCGGGTCATACCCATCAGCATGTGAACAAGTCTTAGTATTTGCTTTCTTTAAAGAAAAATTTCTTGAAAAACTGCAGTTTCTTCCTCTTTATGTAGTCTTTCAACCCACTCCAGCTGCCTTCTTACCCTTTCAGGCCACCAGAATCACTCCTGACAGGGCCAACTAATGACTTCCTGTTTGCCAAATCCATAAGTCACTTGTCTGTTATCTTGGTTGGCACCTCCTGGCATTCAATCTTACTGACCATGCCCTCTTCCCTTGGCAGACTTCTTCCTCTGGTCCACCTTTCCAGGACTGGCCAGCCACTACTACAAATCTGTACTTTGTTTTGGGGTAAGCTCATTGGAAGTCATAGCTTTACATTTCATAGATATGCAGATGACCCCTGGATATCCATTTCCAGTCCTGACTTCTCGCAACTCCAGGCTTTGCCATTTGTCTCTTTGACATCTCTGCTCAGATATCTAGTAGACATCTCAAAATTGAGCACCACATAATTATGTCAGGACAATAAGCATAAACTAGTTTCTCCAAGGGTTTCCCATCACACTGAGAATGAGACTCTGCTCTAGATGGACCTGTAATGCTCATTTGACCCTGCGACACTCTCCTGTACCTCAACCGTGCCCACCATTCTTTTTCTTGAACAGACATTCCCATGTGACTGGGGGAGTAACTAACCTTGTGTGTGCCTGAGTCTCCTTATCTGCAGACCAGTAAACAATGGTACCGAACTCCTACGGTTGCAAAGCACACTGTGCCTGGCTCTTGGTGCTGCATAGAGATTTCTTTTACTCTCCTAACTAAGGAACTGAACAGATTTGGATAGTGAGAGTTACTTGCATTTGCTCAATGAAGACAAGGACTGCTTCTTCATAATATTTTCCTTAAGAAAAGGCCATGTACACATAGTGCAAAGATGTTTGAATATCAGAGTCAACTGTTGGGCTGTGTATTTGTTACAAAGTTCAAGCTGCACAGCTGAAAGTGGGCCAGGCCAGTCTTTATCTGGGTAATGTTTATCTTGGAACAAGATTTAGAAACAGAAATGTGAAATGCTACTAAACTCAGTACCAACCATCACACACTATTTTCCCTTTTATAAGCGGACCTGAATTTTCACAAAGTTCTTAAAAATGCTCCATTTACTTCAAATGTATATAAATTACATCATCTCAAATTTAAGGAATTTTAGAGAAGCTTTCATAAAAATCTCTAAATTTGTTGGTACTCACTCTTTTGGCAGGTCAGGGAGGGGTAACTTTCCTCATGCCAACTCATAAGCAATCCTTTTTCTATTCACGAGGTTTGAAAAGAAGTCGGATCATAGTAAACTGGGCGGTGACTTGGCAGCTGAATGGCCTAAGCTTCAGTTTCCTCATCTGGAAAATGGGGAAAGTAATGAATGCACTTAAAAGCATTTCATGGGAGAAAAATGGTCAATTTTAAACAAGTTGACCATACATGTAAACTCCAATTGTTCTTTTTGGACGAGTAATACTTGGTTCTGAAAGACATTGATTTATTCTAACCAGGAGATAAAGTCAGCTTTCTCTAAAAAATGTATTAGAAATTTGCTGGTGTTTCACTTAACACTAAGCTACAGAATTCAGCCCCCAGTCGTGATGTTTCAGAGCTGGTGGGGAAGAAGGCTGGGTCTGCATCCCAGATGAAATGTGCTCTATGAATTAAAAAATGTATCCATACACTAAATTAAGGGGGTGCACTTGTCAGTTTCTTAGAAATGATTCACTTATGTATCACAATAATGCGCCCTTTAATAGTACAGGATTTAAAAAAAAATAGCTTAAGGTCAAAAATCATCAACTTTATTTAAAACAAATGCAATTTATATTTTAAAATAGAGCATATGAGTTGGAGATTACTTACTTAGAGGTAATTTACACTACAACTCGGGCTACGTAGGTTCTTAAAATTACTGGTGCCTAGAAACTGCCTGAATCACGAGTCTTTGCTATTCAGCCTCCCTCTGCATGGCCAGCAGCAGCAGCAGCAGCAGCCAGCGAGTTACTCATCAACATGTAATGGTGCCACGGGGTTAAATAATGGCCTTCCTTTTTTGGCCTGGATTTTGCCAAAGTTAGCCTCAAACTCTTTTTTCGTTCCGTTCAGATCTGCCAGATGTCCCTCCTTTACTCTGTAGCCTAAGGAACTCAGTTTCCTTATCCTGTACTGTACTATCTGCGGTGTTAATTCAAGAACCATGGGTGTCTCTCTAATCTGAGCTATGGAAACTCCTTCTTTCAACAGTCCCTGGATTCTCTCTTCCAAAACGGGAACGGAATAATATAAAAGGGCAGGACATTTCAAAACTAACTGCTTCAGATCATGGTCTGTGCATTTAAAGGCATTTTTAGAGAAGGAAATACTGTTCTGTATACTTCTTGGGCCAAGCTGAAAAAGAAACCCTTTCAGTTTGGACAGAAGTTGGAGAATCTCAGAGTCTGTGAAACCTTGCTCCTGGAGAAATGCCAGGGTTTCCTTTATAGCTGCAGAAGAATTTAACAAAACGAATGGGTTTTGGCTTAATAACTTGAGTAGCCACACTTTGATGTTGGCCTCGGAGCCACCTAAATTTAGGTAACTCTCCTGGAGAAGCCTTATCATGAGTTTGTTGTTCTCAACGGGATTACGAAAAATACTAGGTGCTGTTGTCAAAAATCTGCCAATGACCACATTTTTGAGCCCCAATTCTTGAAAGAACTGAATGTTCAGTTTCTGGTTCTCCTGGTCTTTAACAGTAAAGAAAGATTCTGGAAACTGTTCTATTAACTTGACTAGCTCGTCCTCATTTTTGCAGACCGACTGCCAGAGTTCTCTCTGGGTGTTAACAGCGGCTGGACTGCAGACAATGGCTTCTGGGCAGCGTTCTAGAAGCCTGGCTATGGCCGTCTCATCGGCACCTAGCTGCTGTAAGAGACTTGCAATTTCTTCGACATAGGTTTCATGCTCCAAAAGGACCCATCCTCTTACTCTGCGAACTTTCCTGACGTCCACTGAAAGTTTACAGAGCTTTTCCACTGTACTTTGATTTTCTTTGTTTGAATGATTACTTGTGGAATAGGTGACGCAGGCTAAAAAAGGCCTGTACTTGGGAGCTGACAGCATCTCTCTAGAACACCACAGCCTAAAAGGCTGGGATCTCATCAGCAACTTCAAGAACAAGCCCGCCATCCGCCTGCTAATCCCCACCGTCCGGGGCCACAGGATGTACTCAGGGTGCCTGGAAGAAAGAAAATACAGGTTTAACATAAGGGGTGTGGATGTGTAGAACACAAACACAAATCTGAGCTATAAGTAGTAAGCATGGAAATAATATGAATTTAAATTAGTAAAACTACTCGTGGAGTATTAAGTATATCCTCTTAAATGATTTATAAAATAATTACACTTCTCACAACTTAGACATCTTATACTTTATACATTGTCTATTTGAGCTTTGCAGCAACTTTGTGAAGTAGTTATTTCTATTTGACAGATCAATGGCAAGACCACAAAAACTTCAAAGATTCACAGACTGCACGTTATTTTGACACAAATCCCCCCTCCTACAACGCTGATATGCTTCTCTTTATCATATCAGTGTAAGCTGATATATTACCTACTTACACACACAGGTTTTTTTGTTTTTATTTTTAACATTGTACATTTTCAAGTGATGTTTAGCTGAAGCAAATACTTATTACAAAAGGGGGGATGTCATCTCTAATTTTATATTTCAGAGTATATATTTTTGCTGAATAACTATTACCCAAAATAAGTCAGTTAATTTGTTTTATTTAAAATGAGTTAATAAATGTATGCTTGTTCTATGAGAATTATGGGAAAATTTTTAATAAATCCAGAATTAAAATAAGTCTTAGCCAGGTACATTTTTTAAAATAACAATTAAATTTACTGGGGTGACAACAGTTAATATGAACATACAGAACATACAGGTTTCAGGTGTGGGTTTCTATGTTACAAGATCTGTATATTGCTCTGTGTGCCCACCACTCAAAGTCCTATCTTCTCCCATCAGTCTTAGCCAGGTACAATGAGAAACACTGTGTGACTGCCCCAGCAGGACCATGGGGGTGCATGTCAGTTGTGAAATGGGGACCACACGTTTACAACAGTGTAGCCAGCTGTCCGCAGTTCACAGCTTTACTTACCTAGAGAGGGCTATACTGCTCCTGACACATTGTAGCCTTTGGCACTATTTTCTCACATTCTGGTAAAAACATGCCTAGTTTGTAGCTTTAACTTTTAGTACCTAAGAGTGAAATGTCTGGGCTCTACCACAAAAGTGTAGTACTGAGCTATTTGGCTAGTCAGCAGCCTTCTCTTAATATTTGTAGCTTTGAAGGAAAACTGAAAAAAAAAAAAAGAAAAAAAAAAAAGACCATTTCCAATCCCTGCCCTTAATAATGCCTTTGCCTATATGACAAGCACTCTCCACTTCCAAGCCTGTCCTAACTACTCAATGATTATTCTCTAAGGAAAAATAACAGGGAACAAACAGCTGTTAGTGCCGATTGTGTCCAAAATAATCGTAGGCATAGCTTCTGTTTTACTTCTAGTGGTTCAACCAGAGTTTTCTCAGATAATTTCTAATACCAGTTTCCTTCAAATAACTCAAATTGCCAAGATATAAATAATAAAGTGTTTTTTAAATTTCTGAGAAGACTAGGATTTTAACAGGAAGGAGGTACACATAATGAGGAAGGGCAGGGGCACATCTAGGTTGGAGCCCCACACCCCACTGTAGCGGGGCCCCACAAGCTTGGGTCTCACATCTGTACCACAAGCTGGAAGGAGTGCACTCTGCAGCCAAACTGCCCACACCCTGCCCTGGCTCTATTATGGGGTCATTTTGGAAAAGTTACTTAGGCTCAGATTAAACAAGTGAACAAATAGTAATTAGAACTCAGCCTCACAGTAAATGTTCAGTAAGTATTACTTAAAATAACAATAGCATCACCTGTAAAACAGAACAGCAGGTAAACCTTACAGGGATACTGCAAGAGTTAAAATGAATGTCAAGTACTTTGTACAGAGCCTGGTATGTAGTAAGTGCTTAATAAATGGTAGCCATTACTAGGAACCATCTGGAGCTAAAATTCTTGTAGTAATATGACTTTAAATTGTATTTTTAGACAGAAGTTCATTATTTACAGAGAATAACTGGAAATTGTGAAAATTGTATTTTAAATGCTTTTATAAGCAAAATAACTGCTTATAAAAATAATACAGTCTCACTACAGAGAATCTGCCAAATCTTTAAAGCGTATGGATGTGGAAAGTCTTTCACAACCCCATCACCTACAGACAGCTTCACATTCTGACATTAAGTCCAGTTTTTTCCTATGCTTCTTGCCCCCTATTATAATTTTTAAATACATAAATCTGCGTTATACATGAGAGTTAGGTTCTAAACTCAGCCTCTAAAGCGAAAATTGCAGAAACTCAAATTTTCTTTGAAAATTTCAAGCAGGCACCACACTGGATACCAACATACCATCTTCTGGGAAGTCCCGCGCAGCCAGGGTTCCTCCAGGCCTGGAACGGGTCCCAGTGTTTGGCTAAGTACCAGGTGAAGTCGCTGGCTTACTCTGGGAGTTACGTTATAAAAAATGACGGATCATTAAATATTAGAACCACACTGACCACGCATGACACCCTTGTCCAGCGGTGAGGCTAAGGGAAAAGCAGGCTGCCTCCCACTTCCTGTGCTCCAGGGCGAACTAGCACACGTTGGAGCGAGTTGTCTGGACAATTCAAATGTCTGGCTGGCTCTAGCTCACGCTCTCCCCGATGAACAAACACAGGTGACTACATCAGTGGAAAGTGCAAACGCTGTGGCTCCTCTACAATCAACACACATCATACAGGGGTGGGCAAAAGTAGGTTTACAATAATTAATTGATGATAATACAAGAATAAACTTGTGTACTCACAACTGTAAACCTACTTTTGCCTACCCCTGCATATATAATTTATTCTTTTATTTTATCCACTATATCTAACTTTGGCATCAAAAACTCTCTAAATATTTAAACTGAGCACATGATACATGGGATGGCTATACTATAATTTTGCAATTTATTTCCTAATATTGAGCAGTTGGGCTATTTGTAATTCTTTGCTATATGCTGAGTGTCTGTCCACATTTCCTATCTGTTCCTTTAGGATAATTCCTAGAAGTCCTGAAGAGGAGCTGTGTGGAGTTCAGTTGTTAATTTACTATCTGGGAAAACTTTCTCAACGGACATTCGCACAAGCAGTACGAGTGAGTCTCTCATCAGTTATCACTGTGATATGTGAAAAAGAATACAACACGAATTTAATTTCCTTTTATTTTATTAGCGAAGCTGAGCTCTTAATAAATTATTCTGACCATCTGTGAATTTACTATTGCCTCTGTGAATTTACTATTCTTGCCATCTGCCCTTTTTATCAGTGGCGTTAAGTAAACTCACAGTGTCGTACAACCACTACCACTATTTCCAGACTTCTTAGTCACCCCAAGCACAAACTTTGTACCCAGCTGAACAGTAATTTCACACTCCTTTCTCCATTCAGCCCCTGGTGGTTTCTATTCTGTCTCTATAAATGTGCCTGTTCTTGGTACTTCATATAAATGGAATCATACAGTATTTTTCCTGTTGTGTCTGGCTTATTTCACTCAGCATGTTTTCAAGGTTTGCACACAGTATAGCATGAGTCATCAAAAATAGATGAAGCCTCCTGTCCCCGTTATAGGCTGTCATGAAACCATGGATGGCTCCTCTGTGCCACTTGTCATGTGCTGTTTCTGTTTCACCCTCCATGAAGGCAGAGACTGGTCACTGTGGTCCAATGAATTGCTTCCCTACCCGTGACCTGGCTGACATTGGGGAGTCTATGGAGGCACTCCTAGTCAGGTGACATTTGTGTGTGTTTCTCCATAGCAACCAGCTCTTGATACTGTAGCACTATACTCCTATAAGTTTGTCATTCATTCAACCAGTAGTGTTTTGGCTTTAAGCACACAATGTGTCAGACATTATGCTAGCACTAGTTCTGCTAAAATGTTTCTTCCTACCTCTGGATCACAGACCCATCAGAGAACCTGATGAAAGCCACAGACTCTCTTTCAAAAAAAAAAAAGACCAATACTTACTTTGCAAAAAGATTTTAGCAGGATTCAAGCCCTGCAGCCCAACTATGAACAACCTGCAGGAGATTGCAAGCACCGGGAGGGCAGGGTCTGACTGCTCTTCTGCTTTATCCCTGTACCCAACAAAGAACTTGGTCAACAGAGGAATAAAATCAGTGTTTGTCAACGGAAACTGAATGAACAAACCACGTTCATGAGGTTACTTACTCTAGTGGCTAAAACTGTGGCCTGCCTGGGCTTAATTCCCGGTCAGGTTGTATTTACTGTGACCTAAGGAAGTCATTTCACCTCTCTGTGCCTCAGTTTGAGCATCAGGAAAATGGGGGCACTACATGCTGGGTGATTGTGAAGATGAAATGAGTTAATATCATAAATCACAGAGTACTCAGAAAACTCATTAAATCATACAACCCATTTTAAAGATGAGAAAACAAATGAAGTAACAGGTAAAGTAACCTGTCAAAGGCTGCTCAGCTAATAAAGGGCAGCCCTTGTATTCAAACCCAACAGCTTGGCTCCAGAGTTCAGCCCTTAGCCCTGCGCCCTACACATAATGATGCTCTTGGTAAATATTTGTTAAAACACGCGAGCTATTCTCTGAAACTTCACGTCTTCTTAGACATTTCTGAGGAGTGAAATCCACTTCTGTAATATGCATAACTTTCATAATTAATACGGGTCCCTCTGGAACACCGGTAATTTCAACGAAGTTCCACTTCTATAACACGTACGAACTGCTGAGTTTCGATTAACCCCAATAACAGCAAGGAAAAGCGAAGGCCCAAGGAAGAGAACCTTGGGGAGCGATGGAAAACCACACACCCATCGTGGGGGTCTCCGCTTTTCCCTAGAAACATCCGACCCGCGGCGCCCCGCGCCCG